CTACCACTAATGGATAAAAAACAACTTTTTAAAAGCACTATAACTAGTATCTTACTGAATAGTGAGAGACTGAATGCTTTCCCTCTAAGACTGGGAACAGAGAAGAATGTTTGCTCTCATCACTGTCACTGAACACAACTTGAAGCTTTAGCTACTGCAATAAGGAAAAGAAATGGAAGGCACAAGTATTTGAAAGGAAGAAACAAAAGTGTCCCCTTTTTTAGGTAACACAATCATGTTTGTAGAAATTCCCAAAGAACATAAAGAACAAAACAAAAACTCTTAGAACTAATAAGTTCAGCAAACTTATGAGACACAAGATAAACTCATCCAAGATCAGTCATATTTCTATATACTATCAATGAATGTGTGGATAGTGAAATTTGAATGTAATACCATGTACATTCACTCCCAAAGAAAATGAAACAGTTAGATATAAACATAACAAAATATACAGAACCTGCACCTTGAAAATTGACAAATACAGATGAAAGAAATCAAAGAAGACTGTAAAAAGTAAAGAAACACACTACATTCAGAGATTGGAAGACTCAAAATGTTAAATCTATCAAGTCTCCCCAAATTGATCTAATAGATTTACTTGAATTCCTATTTCTCAAAACTTTCAGCAAGGATTTTTATAGACATAGACAAGGTTATTCTGAGAATTGTATGGACAGCCACAGGCCCTATAACAGCTAAAATGAACTTGAAAAGAATATATTTAAGAATCACTTTACTGGATATTAAGTCTCAGATTATAGATCAAGACAGTGTAATAGACACATAGATTAATGGAACAGAAGACAGAACCATAAATAAACCCACATAAATATTCTCAACTGATTTTTGACAAAAATTCGAAGGCAATGAAATGGAGAATGCGCAGCCTTTTCAACGAAGGGTGGGTGGAGCAACTGAATATGCACAGGTAAACAAAGAAACCCTCATGCCTTATATAAAACGTATCTCAAAATAAATCATAGACTTAAATTAAAAATAACAACTTTTAGGGAAAAAATAAGACAAAGTCTTCAGAACCCAGAGTGAGGCAAAAAAAAGTACCATCCGTAAAAATAAAAAAATTGACAAGTTGGCCCTTATTGAAATGAATTCTCAAAACTCAAGAGTAAAGTACAAACAATTCAATTCAAAAAGAGAAAAAGACATGAATAGGCATTTCACCAAAGAAGTAGATGGCAAACAAATTCATAAAAATATGTGCAACATCATTAGCAATTGGGAAATGTAATTAAAACTACAATGAAATATCACAACATATCTAGCCAAACAGCTAAAATCAAAACGTGATAACATTAAATGCTGATGAGGATACACAGAAACTGGATCACTCATGCATTGTTCCTGGGAATATAAAATGGTACAGTCATGGTGGGAAATAGTTTGACAATTTCTTATAAAACTATATGTGCATTCCAGCATTTGCAGTCTTGGGATTATTTGAGAAAAAATAAATACTTGTGTCCATGAAAAACCTGCAGACAAATGTTCATAATAGTTTTATGTGTACCTACCAAACACTAGAATCGGATACCCTTCATTTAACTGAACAAACTATGCTACAAACATTCCATGAAAAATTTGTCAGCAATAAAAAAAAGAACAGATTATTGCTATGTACAACAACTTGGATGAATCTCCAGGGAATTATGCTGAGTGGAAAAACCAAAGCCAAAGATGCATTTTATTACCTGCATATGATTGTGTGTGGATTCTCCATAGACAGTGTGTATCCATCACAGTCAAGAATCTTGTTATGGTCTAACATTAGTTTTATCATTATTAGATTTGATAAGTATCATATTCACTTCAAAAATTCATATTTCTGTTTCTAAAACTTTAGCTGTATGAGGCAAATAACACCATGACAAGAGGCATCGAAAAAAAATTGTCTTTGAGGCCTGATTTTTTTTCATGATAGTTTATAGTTTTCCCAATCTTTTGGAATACAGAAATTTGTATGGGTGACTGTGAGAGATGATGGATATATGTTAATTTTCTTCACTATGGTAACCACCTTAATGTCTACATTTATAACATTTTGCATAACTTATACAATAAGTTTTATTTTAAAAATAAAAATGATCAGCAGGTAAAAGAAGAAATTGGTCTGTTTTAATTTCTCTATGGGAGTGATTTCATTCAATATTTTCCTAGGAAATTATCTTTCATTTATATTTGCAAGTTTATTTGGGCTAAAGAGTATAAAGTAGGCTCCTATGGTTTTTAAAATGTATTCTTTTTTAAACCATCTACACCTTCTTTCCTTCTAACACTCCATCTTTGATTAGTTTAGCTTCTCAGACTCTCAACTGCCTCTTCCAATATTCACAGATGACATTAGGGATTCATGTCTATAGTTTTCTTTCTTTTGAATTTTGGCCTCTTGATTCACTTACTTTGAAGTTCCTCAATGCTCAACCTTTTTTTTTTTTTTTTTTATGGCTCTCCCTAAAATGGAACTTGCCTAACCTCTCAGATGCATTCACTTGTTATTGCAATTTCTTTCATACACTAGACGTCATTCATGCTGAACTATTGATACTTTTTTTTCTTTTTTTATTGGTTGTTCAAAACATTACAAAGCTCTTGACATATCATATTCATACATTAGATTCAAGTGGATTATGAACTCCCATTTTTACCCCAAATATAGATTGCAGAATCACATAGGTTACACATCCACATTTTTACATAATGCCATATTAGTAACTGTTGTATTCTGCTACCTTTCCTATCCTCTACTATCCCCCCTCTCCTCCCCTCCCATCTTCTCTCTCTACCCCATCTACTGTAATTCATTTCTCTCCTTGTTTTCCATTCCCCTCACAACCTCTTATATGTAATTTTGTATAACAATGAGGGTCTCCTTCCATTTCCATGCAATTTCCCTTTTCTCTCTTTCCCTCCCACCTCATGTCTCTGTTTAATGTTAATCTTTTCCTCCTGCTCTTCTTCCCTGTTCTGTTCTTAGTTGCTCTCATTATATTGAAGAAGACATTTGGCATTTGTTTTTTAGGGATTGGCTAGCTTCACTTAGCATAATCTGCTCTAATGCCATCCATTTCCCTGCAAATTCCATGATTCTGTCATTTTTTAGTGCTGCGTAATACTCCATTGTGTATAAATGCCACTTTTTTTTATCCATTCATCTATTGAAGGACATTTGTAATATAAATAGTAAGAGGACTCTTTCAATCACATGATCTATCACATAGTTTGCCATTACTGGAAACACAATTACTACATATCCTTTTAAGAGTTTAAAAAAGAAAAAAAGTCCTGAGGGAGGTGCAGGGTAAATCCTCACAGAAATTCTGAGTGTAAATCAACATTTGTTCTCCTCAGTGGATAATTCAAATATTAAGTGTTATAGCTCAGATATGAGGTGTCCCCAAAAAGTTCATGTATGAGACAATGCAAGAAAATTTAGAGGTGAAATGATTGGGTTATGAGAGTCTTATCCTAATCAGTGCACTAATCGCTGATATGGATTAATTAGTTGATAACTGTAGACAGATATGATATGGCTAGAGGAGGCAGGCCTCTGGCTGTGTGCCTTTGAAGTATATATTTTGTCCCTGGTGAGTGGAGCTCTGCTTCCTGATTGCTATGTCCTAGACTGCTTTCCTCCTCCATGACCTTCCACCATAATTTTCTGCCTCACCTAGGGCCAAGAGCAATGGAGTTGGCCATCTATGAACTGAGACCTTTGAAATTGTGATCACCAAATAATCTTTTCCTCCTCAAATATTGTTCTTGTTAGGTCTTTTGGTCATCAAGGCCAAAAAGCTAGCTAAAAGTCTAAGTGTGTCTAACTGCTAAGAACCCCTTTATAAAACGTGCATGTGCATAGTGTGGTTATCCAGGTTTGTTTGGCAGTTAATTTTGATTGATCCTTTCTATCACCCCTTGTCTATGAAAGTGAGATTAAGCATGGCAGAAATGAAAAGAATGCTGATTAAATAACTAGTAATCCAGATCTTTCATATAGAAAGGAGGTCTGGGCTGGAGACATGTATATATCTGTGTATAATCATCATGTAGCTGTCAGTAGAAGAGTTCATTAAGTTCAATTTATTGATGGTGAAAATTAGATTTTAAGGGTCAAAAGATGATGTGTGGAAATGCAGAAAGTATGAGTGGCAGTTTGGCTTATTCTGTGGGTGTAGACTGCCTTTGTCTCCCAGGAAATTTTGACTTTGGGACATGAGTTATAAGACAAGTAGATTTGACACAATCATCTACGCATGCATACATTAGGGTACAAATTAGAATGTTTGTGTGACCACATCCCAGGACCCAGTTGGAACATTGGAATTCTCACATACCCTCCCAAGCAACAGCTATGTGCGTTGGTGGGAAGAGGTAAAGCTGGTACAGGGAAGCACAGAGCCTAGAAAAATTAGTCTTAATCCAAGGATTTCAGCGGCAAGAGTTAAGTCATAAGTAAGTATAACTAATTTGTTGGTATAAAGTTTTCCCACTTTCTAAAGAATTCTCTTTCAAAGTAAAGAAAGTATCTTTTATGTTTTTCCCACAGTTCTTAGCTGCGTTCACTGAACATAAAAACATAAAATGAATTAATCTCTCTTCTACTAGAGGGAACTGTATTAAATCTACATTCATCTAGATAAGTTATTAAGTATTTTTAGCTACAAATGAAACAAAGCTTAAACACTATAACCACTCCTCTACTGTTTTGCAATCAGCTTTTAAAACTTCTTCCCTTCTACTTTAAGTCAATAAATTACAATTCTGGAGGCTCTGCAACTTCTTTCCAATGATGTTCTTGTGCAAGACTGTACATTTTACACACTGTTTTAAATCTCTAGTTGAATGTTACATTTTTGGTCCAGGGTTAAAAAAAATAAAACCTGTAATGAATGACTGTAGAGGTTTTTGCAGAATCACTGAAATCTTGACAATATATCTATCATAATAGGTATATTTTGCAAATGGACAACATATTTAAAACATAATGTTTTGGAAGATTTTATTCACATAAATTTTTTAATCATATGCAAAGTCATTATCTACAAATTCAAACAATACAGTAAAAATATGTTTTACTTTAACTTAAGGTAGTACATACAAATTTCTTTAAAGCATACTCATTTTATTTACACATTATTTTAAGAATTGATAATAAATACTTTACATCTAATCTTTGTCCTTCATGTCTACCTTTGCATTAACAATGAAGTAAATCCCTTCAAATAAGAGGAATTAAATGTAATAATCCTTAAAGCTTACAAGATTTTGCAGGGGGGGGAGAGATACAAAAACACTGTAAAGGCATTTTATTCCTTTAATGTTCTAAGAATTTAACTGTAAATTTTTAAAGGAAGCCTAGTGCCTAGTACAATAATATTTTTATTCTATTGCTGTTTATCAGACAAACTTGTACATTATCAACAGCAGCACAATTGTCCCTATGCTATAAATAAATGTACTTATGTTGAACTCACACTGAATTAACCAAAGTTAATCCAAAGTTTTCCTATTACCTTTGAGAGTTGTCATAAATAGTTCTATATTTATATATTGAAATGCTTTCTAATACCCAGAAAACACAACGGCACATTAATCATTTAACAAAATACACATTAAAACCTTAATGTAAAAGACTAATTTTACAAGACTTTCTCAGACTATTACAGGAATCATTTTTTTTGAAATATACAAGTGAATTACCATAAAGTTCAATTTAATGATATATAAACTTCTCTTGGATTAAACAAATACTATTCTTCTTGTCTCATCAATATACATTAAAAATTTACCTAATATAGTATTTTGAGAATGGAATGAAAGACAAAATATACCTCTTAGTGAAGGGGTTAAAACACTGAGAGGACATCCCTTTCTATTTCATCCTATGTAAAATTCACACAAGGGTTGGATACCCTGTAGAATTCTGAAACTCATAACCACCAATCAAGTTAATGCAATCACTAAAAACCATAATGTTGCAAGGACCAAGCTCCATTCAACTAGTATCAAATATTCTGAAAATATTAGACTTTCCAAAAATATCCATGACTTAGAGGAAAAAAAGTTTTAAATGTGACAATTATAGCCATTGTTATTTTTTAAATGATAATTAAGGTAGAAATGAACTTTTTAATTACTATATTGAGATCAACTAATTAAAAAATCAGAAAATTTATCAAAAAGCAAAATCAGGTCTATACGGTTCTTAATTCAACTTATAACCAATAGCATGGATTATCTATACAGGGTGTAGAAATGCCTCTCAAAAATCCCAAATATAATGGGCACCAAATATTAGGATCAGGAAATTAACAGAGACTCCCACAGATACATTATATGTTTTAAGACTGATACCAGTGTTGTTCTTTATCATCACAGACATCAACATTTAACTGAGCTATATATTTACTACAGATTATAACTGTTTCTGAAAACAGTTACCAAGTGTGTTTTATACTGCCAAAACTTTAAAGACCACACTATTAATTGTTTTTCTCAGGTCCTGATGAATGATTTTTAAATCCAATTTTTCCAATGGATATAATCTATACTGCCACAAGTCAGTTTCTTCAAATTAATTTTAATTATTAGAAGGTGCTACTTAATAAAGGTAGGATGACAGTTATTCACATAAACTCTTAGCTCTGAAGAATTATATTTAAAGATATGAAATTGATTATTTCTGTGATTCCAAATACTAGAGGAAAAAACAGAGGCAGCACTAACACTATTCTGTCACTTCACGTAGGAATGGTACAAAAATTAGAAGACACTAAACTTATTTTCTTGAAAAAAAAAAGTTTGTAGTACTGAGGACTGAACTCAGAGACTCCCACATGCCAGGCTAGCACTCTAAACACTGAGCTATGTCCATGGATGGTCCTTTTAAAAAAATTATTTTGAGAATGGGTCTTGCTAAGTTACCCATGTTGGCCTTCAACTTATGATCCTCCTGTCTCAGCCTCCAAAGTAAATGGGATTACAGGTGTGTACCAATGCACCTATCTCCAAATTCCATTTTATAAATTTCTTACCTACTCTACTATCTAAAAAGTAAGATATAAAGTCACAAAGTAAATATAAAAATCTCCTTTCATCATTATGACCCAATCAAATTCAAAATTGTATTCAGGTCATAAATTTCTCTATACTTAAATATTTCAGGAAAAAAATTTAAAATGGAAACAAAAAATAACAAGTTTTCTAAAGTTCTAGATTTAGATTGTGAGTTAGGTGAAACTAAACCAAAATGAAGTACAAAAATAACATTCCCCTGAGAGCTGTGCTCTACAGGATTGTGGAAACCTGACCACAGTCCAGTCCCTTCTAACCTCCTCTTATAATAACATCTACACACCTACACATGCAAACACACTTGTGCATACACATACATCAATAACTTATATAAAGCCACTAAACACAAATTGAGAAGAGCACTTTCCTCTGTTTTCTTTTGAATTTCTCATTAGCAATAATCTTCTTCAAAAGATATACATTTTGAGATTTCAACAGCTTAAAGGACTTAAACATACACCAGTGACAACTCAAGCTTTGTATCACATGGTCTTGGTTTTTATGTGATTTTTAATAGCTTTCCTTAAGATGATTTCTTTGTATGGTAGAACTTTTTTTCTGCCTGGCTAACCAATTTTATTAACCATCACAGAATTTCCTACCTCAAGGACTTATTTGGGATACAAATTGAATAAGGGTAAATATAAAAATATAGAAAATTTTTCCTTCCTGATACATAAAATTCATGAACTACATAAAGATTTCTGGTTTTTTTCATTTACAAATATATAAATTTATTAGAAAAACACAGCTACTAAATTTGGTATATTTTCATTTTAAATGTATCATCTTCATTGCAAAGAGAAAAAGAAAGCAGAGTATTTTTCTCAAAAGCTATGTCTAATTAGAGAAATAGATGGTGTTAACTGATTTACTAGCATTTTTACTATGGATAGGGTTATTTGTATTAGCTAATGAACCAAAACAAAACACAAGGGAAAAAAGTAATTTTAGCATGCTTGGTCTAAGTTGTCTTTCAAAGTATACTTTTTCATGGTTAAAAAGTTAAAACATCATTCCTAGGATATATCCTTAGTTTTGAGATTATGTAAAGACACTTTGTATAAATCTCAGTACATGTTACCCAATTAAAGGATCATCATCATCTTCTTGTAGTTGAAGTCGGGAAAATGGATGGGGTACAGATAGTCTGTTCTGCATAATTATTATGAGGCATGTTAGAGTGGTTAATGCCAAGAGTGCACCAATAACAATTCCAATGGCTTCTGGGAGATTAATGCACCACTGGTCAACCAACAAGCACTTGGTATGACTAAAGGTTCCATTATTAGGATGTGGTTTTAATCCCAGGATGTGACACATCATTGGATAAATATCCACAATATTAATGGTGCTATACTTGTAGCCTTTGTGAAATGCAGGGCCGTGGGCAGCTAGGAACGGATGCATACTGGGCAAAGAATTATCATAACCATGGTCACCTACTGAAAAAGAACAAAATGATGTTAGTAAATATAATCAATAAAAAACTCACTTCTAGTGTAAATATACTTCTTGATAGCCTAATTCTCTTCTATTAAGATTCTGATTAGTTGAACCAGACAGGAGCCAGAAAAAAAAATTTGTATTTTCAACTCAACCGTGTCCCCTATTTCACACACACACCCCTTAGCCCATTGCACCATGGCCTCAGACTTTAACACTACTTCTCAACCTAATGTACTTACCTTTTAGTACTAGCCTCACTTACTTCATCTCTCAATCTCCAGCACTATTTGTAAAAACTCACTTAAAAACAGCACCATTGATAAAAAGTGTTGTCAGGCTGAACAGAGCAGAAGACCAATGAATGGAAAAGTTAATCTGCAGCCTTACTCATCTCAATTGCTCCTGTGATTAAGAAATAGGATGGCATAATGTACTGGCTTACTAAGATTTAATAAATGCTTGAAAACAGGATGGTAAGATGGATGAGAATTTTACAAGAGGGATTCTTGTATCAAATGTAAAATGCAACAAGGTTACTCTAACTTGTAATTCCAGTAAAAGTCTGACTCAAAGAAAAACAGGGAATGGTCCCTAATGGAACTCCAATACTAGATTCACAAGTGTTAACTTTGTTTTAACAAATACTGTCTTTTAATGTACATAAGTTGCATTTAATAAATTCCCACTTTCAAATTAAGTGTAGATGACTAAATGATAAGTATCGATGTATGTTACATTATTAATTGTAAATTTAGAATATTTCAAAATAAAGAATTTGATCAATATGACAAAAAGCAAAATATAGATATAGACAGATGTTATGATTTTAATAATATTAAAATCTGCCTACATATGTAATAGAAAAAAGAATAGGAGAGGAAAACTCGTAAAATTAATATTTGTCTATATCTGTGTTGAGGGATTATGGATAGATTTGTTCTCTTTCCCATATTTTCCAAGTTTAAAATAATGAGTTTATAAAATAGCATAAATATAAATAATACACAAACCCCACTGACTCCGAGTCTGTGTTGTCCTTGCCTAATTCTCCTAGATTGCTATACATCAGAGATCTGATAATTTCAGCCCATATCCAAAATTGGCCCTCCACCTGTTTGTGTTAACCAAGTTTCACTGCAGCACACCACTTTAATTGCTTACATACTATTTGTAGCTGCTTTTGCATTATAAAAGAAGAGTTGAGTGATTCAGACAGAGACCAATCAATGGTCCACAAAGCCTAAAATATTTACAAACTGGTACTTTATTAAAAAAAAAATGTTTACTGACCCCTGCAAAGGAGTATAATTTTTTACTCTATTTTTTACAGATTATTTTTTAAAGTATTAAAATTGAACATAAAATATGGACAAATGAACTTCAGTTGCAGCATGACCTAAAACTCACCCCTACATATTCTCTGTTTAAGGAGAGATTTTGATACACCTGTTTACTTGGTGGATTTTTCTGTTTGTTTACTTTCTGATTCTTGTCAAGTATTCTAAATAGCTTATGCTATTCAAGGAAATAGTGCACCTGGAACCCAGGTTCAATTCTCAGCACCAAATAAAAATAAAGGCATTGTGTGTGTCCATCTACAAACACACACACACACACACACACACACACAAAAAAATTCTCTCTCTAAAAAAAAAAAAAAAGGTATTTGAAATAGCTAATCTCTCTTCTTTAAATTTGTTTCCTTAGGTTCCCTTCTTTTTTCTACAAATCAAGAGAACCATTTTGAAAATTGCTGACAGCAACTGCACTTTTGATTTTTTTTTTTTAAGTAAATTGTGGGCTGGGGATATAGCTCCATTGGTAGAGTGCTTGCCTAGCATGCATAAGGCCCTGTGTTCAATCTCCAGAGCCATGAAAAAAAAGCAAATCTACAGCTTCATCCTTAAGGTCACTCATCCTTCTAGTTGAAAAGTGAAATTGTAGTTATTGTAAATTACTATTGAATGAAAACCTGACCATCATCTAATAGGAAAATGAACTAATAATACTGTGTGAATATATCTAAATCAAAGTGCCCTTTTAACAGAACAGTGTCATAGTGTGTGATGTATTCCTAGGATACAACAGAAAAACCCTAAATAAATACTTACATTTTGATGATGATTTATTTAGTACAATTGTCCAGCCTTCATCAGCAACCAATATAATTGGCTGAATTCGATCATTATGTTGGTAATAATATCTGTCAGGAATGTCTTTTTTGAGATAAACATTCATGTGAGGGCTACAGTTTTTCAGTTTCTCATAAACCTCTGTTATATCTATAAAAAAGAAAAAGCAAAGGAAAAAAGTCATGGTTACCTGATAAGGAAAAACATATCTAACTAGATTAGCTGGAATTAGATCTGGACAATGTCATCTATTAAATAACTGAATTCTTAAAACAACAGAGCAGAATTATGTGACAGTGTTGAGGATGAATACACACACACACACACACACACACACACACACACAACACAACACACACACATCCCTATATCAAGCATTCACAAACTCTTCTTCGTTTTGTGGTAATCCACAAAATGATTATCCACCTTTATAGAAAGAAACAATATTTATATGGAGATTCCCAAGTAAACATAAGTTATGTTTTACTACCAATTACTAATTTTATGATAAGTAGAAGATATATCTCACTAAATTCCAAGATTTCTTTAAAAGCAAAAATATCCTTTTTCCCTTAGTGTGAATAATTTTAAAATAAATAAAAAGAAAAATAACTACCAATTGCTCAAAATTTGTAAATTAGGAAGGAAAAAACATCCTACTCTATTTAGTATTCTGAGTATAGAGCTGAACTACAAAAAGCCAGCATTTCATTCTTTGATACAACTCTCCTTCCTCAACCAAATGCTCCATTCAAATAATAGTATCACTCAGCTAAAAGTCTACTTACTTATTTTGGGGAGCACTGCAGCAACTGGGCTCAAATCTATAAGACTGTAGTTCGAACGATCAATGCAGAGATCCAAGTTTATCCATCTGTTCTCAGAACACTGAGTCATCCCATGATCGCTTGTAATAATCACATTAAGATTTTCCCACAATCCTAACATCTTGAGCTTTTGGACTAGGTAACCAATGAGGTCATCTATTTCTTTCAATACCCTGCGCATGTTTTCTTTATCTTCTGGTCCATATTTGTGGCCACTTGCATCTGGTTCTTCCCAATAGAGTGTTGCAAAGGTGACTGGTGGGTTCGAATTGCTGAGCCACGTCGTAATGTTATTTACTCTCTCCTCAAATGACACTGAGATGCTATAATTCATAAAATAGGAAGGTGTGGTATTGTGAATGAGTACATCAGTACCAGGCCACATAGCAGCAGCACTTGATCTGTTTTCCTGAAGCTGATTAGTCACCCAAATAGGTACTGCCTCATTCCACCAAAAAGGATCCTTGTCATTAGAATCAGAAAAATGTTTCTTTGTGACTGCATCATACATGGAATTGGCTACAATGCCATGGCTTTCCTCATATAAGCCTGTCACAATGCTATAGTGGTTTGGAAATGTTTTTGTAATAAAAACATTTTTAACATGTTCTACCAAGACACCTTCTTTGATAAAATTCTGGAGATGAGGAAATTCATAGTTCTGCAGATAGTCAGCTCTAAAGCCATCAAAAGACACCAGCAGTAACTTGGGTGGCAAACTATATGAAGAGTTACCTCTACAACCAGTCATAAGTCCAGAAAACAAAAGTATTACTAATAACTTCATAATGAACACGTTGAAGGACAGCAATCAGGGTTCCTAAAATATAAAAACACAAATCATAAGTAGTAATGCTATTTGATTTGGATTACGATTCATAAGTTCAACCAATGGGTGATGAGAATCAATATTCATATACCTTTTATATGCCAGCTTCACCTATATCAACTTAAAAATTACAAAATGTCATTTAAGGTTAATTTACTAAAGCTAAAGTTGGAAAAAAATTAAAATTGCCTTTAATCCTCCAATTTCCCATTATACATGTCCTACTTCAGCCTTCATGCTGTGAAGGTAAGATGGGTCATTCTTTCCCCCCCAATAAACACTCGTGTTTGACAGCCCTGTTCTCTGTAGCAGTAGAAACTATTCTAAAGGCTTAACAGAAAGCGGAAAAATAAAAGCAATTCTTTTGTACAAAATACAAACAATATCAAGATTTCATAAGTTCCAGAGAAACAGATTATTTTTCTAGTTTATCAAACAGTATCCTATAGTTCAATTCATAGAAATAACTAGTGGAAATTCTACCATTTTGGCTCACTGACCATTCTTATTAAAAAATACTGGCTTAAAAAAGGAGATTAATAAATAAATGCTATTTAAGAAAAATATCTCCACTCAGTCTGTACTATCCCAATATTTACATGAAGTTGACTAACTTCTGAAGAAATTCAACAGCTGCTGAAATCAATTTCATTATCACATCCCTCTTAAATTTCCACTTTACTGTGGAAGACATAACTATTTGTTATTTTTGAAAATAATTCATTGATATCAAAAACTCCTTTCATCTAATAAATATCCTTGCCTTCATTCTCCACCTTCTTTAGTCTCTAAGAAAATAGGATACATGGTTTAAGCAGAACGATTTGCTTTAGATGGACAGGATACACCTTCCATCGTCAGGACAGAAGGAGCAAAAGCTAAGGGTGAAGGGAGCTGCCCTCTCTGCATTGCTGGAAATAGGGTCAATTATTGAAAGAGAGTAAGGTGGAAAAAGGTTCAGAGATTTAAGGACTATAGAAAATGTATGGAATGGTCAATGTGGAGAATGGGAGAGAAAACGAAGAAAGAGTAACATTGGTGGGTAATGCTAATAGCTGGTATCATGGATTTTCACAAGTGACATTGTTTTCCCTATCAACTCAGTGGCCCGGGCACAGGCATGAGCAAAAGGCAGCTGATCGAACCCAAGCTTCAGATTCTGGCTGAAACTGAAAGATGATTAGGCTGAAGATGTTGACTAAAGAATAGCTAAAGCCAGTAGGGTGGCACATATCTGTAATCTCAGGGACTTAAGAGGTTGAGATAGAAGGATCCCAAGTTCAACTTTAGCAACACAGCAAGGCCCTAAGCAACACGGAAAGATCCTGTCTTAAAAAAGAAAAAAAAAAGAGTGGCTGAAATTCAAGTTGCAGCATCTAGGCTGAAACTTCCGATTTGCAGGAAGTAGAGAGGTTTTTGAACTAAAGATTCTGATGGAGTCAAAGAACAGATGTCTTAGGAATAACTTTCCATGAAAGTTGCAAAGATGCAAGGTTGTGGTCAGAATGAGATATACAGTTCATTATTTCAGAAATCCTTGGGTCTGGCTACAGGAGCATGCAGCTTTAATAGCAGCAAGCTAGCTAATAATGATTATTAAGTTCACAAGCCATTCATTGTATATTCATTATACATCTGTGTCCTGGTAGTCATTCAAATACTTAGGGATTGAAGCTGTGATTCTCTGAAAACTAATGACTTAAAGTTCTGAAATCAAAAGGTACAAAATCATATTTGTGAAGGTCTTTTGTCTGGAAGATCCTCTACCATATCAATATAAGATAGGTGGCAATCTGAATGTGGTACTTTGGACATCTGTTGCTGATGCCATCAAAGAAACCAGAAACTGTGCAGAATAACAAAATCAAACTACCTTTCAATAGGACAGAGTGACAATTCTAATGAGTAATAGATGAAGTACACTCCTACAGATACAGACCCCATCGTACTGTGCCAGCAATTCCAGCTATCAAGAATTCATTTAGTAGAACTTCCATTTTCATTCAGTGTTTTGTGTTGTACTCTACCATAGAGTTTATGCATAACTCAACTCCTCTTTCAGAGGAGAATATTGTTCAATCAGACAACACTATTATGTGAGCTGGTGCTGTAGGTTCCAGCAATTTGAGAACTTATGTCAAAGGCACAAGATCTCCATGAAGTCTTGGATTCTGTAGATTCCTAGTTACTCTGAGTACAGGTACTTCCTGATTCTCAAATATTTGTCCAATAAGAGTAAATTAAAATAGCAAAGACATGACACAGTATCTTTTCAAGGACAAAAGATAAATATACTTTTTAAAAAATGCATTATTTACAACCTGGCTTTATCCCTAAATAATCATTCTATATTCCCAACCAATCCACTGTGCAAACTATTCTGCTGAAATGTACAATCAGATATATATAAGAAGGAATGCATTCTCTACACTTCTAAATTTTTCCCCTTCATTAGTGGAAATAACTTCACCATTCACTCAGACACACAGATATCTTAGTACCCTGTCAACCAGTCTAGTCAATCCTCACTTTTTATATCATCTAGTACAAGACTGTAGCAAGAATCACTGAAGAGAGCTGTTAAAAGTGCAGATGTCCAATCTACACTTAGAAAATTATGATTCAGTCAGTCTAGAGTTCAGGCCAAAAATCTGCATTTTTAACAGCTACCCACTCTTTCCTGTCTCCACTGCTGCTGTACTCCTTGAAGTCCTCAATACTCCTGTCTGTGGCTCTTCTGTCTTCTAACTCACCTTCTTACCTTAATCATCTTCCCCCTTGTCACCCAACATCTGCTGCCAACTTAATCTTCCTGGCATTCAATCTTCACAATATTTCACTTAAAAAAAAGTTCAAAGGATACTGAAGTCCAAATTCCTCCCATACCTAGGTCAAACATGCTTGTAAATTACTGTGAAAAGGGTACTGAAATAACTACCAACCTTACCTTTCATCCATTATACTGCACTGTATTACAAAGACATGTAAAAGATAATTGTTACTTATCTTGGTAACTTCTAAGTGACCTGTAACCACTCTTTAGTAATAGTTTGTGCTTCCAGAACATTTTTAAGTTATTTTCTACACATGAAACCTTGCTCAGACATTCTTTTAGATAATTTTTAAATAATCATTCAACAAATATCAAATATAACTAATTCTTTTTTTTTAAAGAGAGAGAGAATTTTTTAATATTTATTTTTTAGTTTTCGGTGGACACAACATCTTTATTTTATTTTTTTTGTGGTGCTGAGGATCGAACCCAGCGCCCCGCACATCCCAGGCAAGCGCATTACCGCCTGAACCACATCCCCAGCCCCCAAATATAACTAATTCTTGAATGCAAATATGTAAATATGTATATATATATATATATATATATATATGTGTATGCCATTTAAAATACATTATACTCAAAACAGAGGTACAAATAATCAAAATAATCAGGCTGTCATCTTGGATAGATAGGATTTATGCTTAAATCAACTTTGTTTTACAACACCAAGACTTCTTTACAACACTGTTTGAGCTTCAACACGATAAAGTTTTATTTTTAAAAAACTAAGCCCTAGAGGAATGACTACAAATGGAATATCAGAGTATGTCCAAAATTTTTCCAATAGTTACTTCTAAGAGTAGAGGGGTGGCACATCAATTCAGTAAATGGTATGAGGACAACTGAATATCTACATGCAAAAGAATGAATTTGGAGAATCCATCTTCTGCTACATATAAAAATTAACTCAAAATTGACCATGAACCTAAGTTAAGAACTAAAGTTGTAATGCTCTTAGGGGAAAATATAGGAATGAATCTTTATAATCTTGGATTAAGTAAAACCTTCTTAGATACCACACCAAAAGCACAAATAACAACAACAACAACAAAAGAACTGGACTTCATCAAAATTAAGTTTTGTGCTTCAAAGGATCATCTAGCAAGTGAAAGACAACCCACAGAATTGGAAGAAAATAGTTGCAAATCATATGTCTGGTAAGAGATTTGTACCTAGAATATATATAATAAAACTTACAACTCACTAACATAAAGTCAAATAATCCAATTTAAAAATGAGCATAGGAACTAAAAATATATTCCTCCAAAGAAGATACAGATAACAAATAAACGCATAAAAAGATGCTTAACATATTAGTCATTAAAGAAATGCAAATTAAAAAATCACACTGAGATACCACATCCACTAAGATGGTTAAATAGAAAAGATTAGTAACAAGTATTGGAGAGTATATAGAGAAATCTGCATTTTCATAAACTGCTAGTGGGAATGTAAAATGGTACAGCCACCCTTAAAAAAAATAAAAATATCCAGGCAATTCTTCAAAGAGGTTAAAGAATTACCATAAGACCCAACAATTCTAATATCAGCTATTTACCCAAGAGAAATGAAAACGTATATCCACACAAAAACTTGCAGATAAAAGTTGACGGCAGGATCATCAAGAAGTGGAAACTATTCCACCACCAACTAAATAAAATGTGGTACACCCACATAATACGATATCTGGCAATAAAAATGAATGAAGTACTAAAATGTGCTACAACTTGGATAAACAACGAAACATTAGGGTAAGTGAAATAGGCAGTCACAAAAGAACACCTATTACATGATTCCATTTAGCTGAAATGCCTAGAACATGCAAATCTATAGAGAAGAAAGTATATCAGTAATTACCTAGGGCTAGACACTGGGAGAGAATGGGGGCAAACACTAGTGAGTATGAGGCTTTTTGGGGAGTGATAAAAATGTTTTAAAATTGATTGTAATGATGGTTGAATAATTCCATAAAGTTGCACACTTTAAATGAGCAAACTGAATGGCACATGATTAATACCCCAATAAAAGTATTACATTTTTAAAAGCAGAGGGAAGTGAAATTATATTCTTAAATGCCCCACCACAGAACAGGAAATATCTTTTGTCATCTCATTTTACCACAAAAATATGTGAACTGTACAGATTTTTTTCTTAGCTGTAGTTGGACACAATACTTTTATTTTATTTTTTATTTTTATGTGGTGCTGAGGATCGAACCCAGTGCCTTGCATGTGGTAGGTGAGCGCTCTACCACTGAGCCACAACCTCAGCCCCCATAATACAGATTTGAGTGCTTAAATGTGAAAATACTGTACACCACTTCCCATATGCAAAACACCACCACAATAAAAATCCTGTGTTTGTCCTTCTCAAAATATAAATCAAAATCCTTCCCCTAATCTTGAGTATAAAGGATGCTCAAAGAATCCTGGCTATTAACTCTAGGGTTCAGTAATCTCTCAGCACACACTGCTTGGACCCAAATGTGCCTGTCCTTATCATTAAGCTCAGTTAACATGGACAAAGCAAAAAGACTATAGACTCTGAAGTCAGAAAGATCCCAGAATAATGAGCTTAGTAGATGGGTGAGCTTTTTCAAATCTATTTTCTTTCAGTTTCAGTTTCCTTGTGTTTAAAATTGGGAATGCAGAAAAGTTACAGAACAGGCCCTCAAAATTAGTTTCTATTATCTACTCTAGTTACAAAGTTGTTATGTTAGAAAAAAAAAATCTGTACCATGACAGGCAGAATAATATTATTATAAAACTATAAAATAAATTATGAATAATTTAGGGTAATCTCTCTTTAAATATGATAAAGTTGAAGTCCAGCAATTAGTAGCTTTATTGTGCTTTTACTAATTTCATGTTCTCAATAACTGTACAAGTCTAGTACTAGCAAGTTAACAAATCCAGTAATATGCTCCAAACTGTTAACACAGCTTTACCTGCCTAGATTTATGTCTACCACATTCTGTTTCATTCTAACAGCAAATGTTAGCTATAAGCAAATCACCAGTGAGAAGTTCTCAAGTAATTTTTTGGGGTAGGTGGGAGGAGGACAAGGACCTGAACTCAGGGAACACTCGACTACTGAGTCATAACCCCATCTCTCTTTTGTATTTTATTTAGAGAAAGGGTCTCACTGAGTTGCTTAGCACCTTGCTTTTGCTGAGGCTGGCTTTGAACTCCACATCCTCCTGCCTCAGCCTCCCTAGCTGCTCAAGTAGTTTTTAAGGAACAAAATAGTTACATTATAAATGACTGGGAGAAACTGTTATTTTTCATCACAAAATAAATAAATTTATTATTTATAAATTATATATATATATATCAAAAGGAAAGGAAAAAAGAAGACCTATTTGCTCTATATCCCAACAGCAACTGGAAGTTCCTACAATGTGATATCCCAACTCAGGGGACTCCTACCTCCTCTGGGATGACTCTCTTGCCTGGATGGAAGGCCTGTCAGTCAACTCTCACTGGCATTCTTAGCCCTTGTGAAGTTGGGAAAGGATATCTGTCACCATGAGCAGTCCACCTGCCCTGCCGTACAATGAAACACCTATCAGCTTTAAAACAGCATTATTGTCTGTCACAACACACGATTAAACCAGAGTCACTCCAGATGAACTGGGCTGGCATGAAATAATCACACAGAGACAGAGAAATATCTTTTTCTTTGGGTTCTGTGATGGCTTCTCTGATGCAGCTCTCACAAAGGAGGCAAGTCAGGCAAGAAAAAGAGAGCATGCCTCGAACCCAGGGTTTTATTGGGGGAGGCTGTTCCATGGAATAGTCTATCCCAAAAAGAGCAAAGGGGTAGGATTACCAAGGAACAGAAAAGTGTAACTTAACTCCACAGATGACTGCCTACTCCTGGAGCCACGCCTCGCCTCATGATCCAAGCAAAGGTAAAGTTCAAGTTTTGCAGGGTGCAATAATTGTTCTGAACCCCCGGTGCATCAGGACTTTAAAACCTCTGCATCCAAGACAGCTCCCACCAATTGTCTGTGTAGATAATATCAATGACTACCTTTAGATTATCTCTCCCCATATCTTTCACCCCCACACACACACATTTTTTTTTAATTTTAAGATAATGTCTGGCTAAATTGCTGAGGCTGAACTTATGATCCTCCTGCCTCAGCCTCCCCAGCCATAGGCATGCACCACCATGCCCTGCTATTATAAGTTAATTCATTAACAGTCTGAGGAAAAACTATAACAACTCCCTAAAAAACTTTCTCAGTCTTAAAAATCTAGGATTCTAAGTTATTCTCCAATTTTCTAGCATGCAAAATTTTCTACCATATTCAAATCAGTAACACTCATCTGACTTCTGACATTGCAAAATAACACTCTGAATGTACTCTTTGTTTTCATCAAAACTTCTTCCAAATTATATTTTGCAACTTGTGTAAGGTAGGAGAAAGAAGATGAGGGAGAGGGATAAAGGGGGGAGGAAGGAGAGAATGAGTGTTTCATGCTCATTTCTGTAAAATAGACTGAAACAATCTCTGGGGAGTGGAAAGTGGGAAGAAAAACCATAATACAGAAACAGGCAGCTGATGTCCTACAGTATTTGTCAAGTCTTTAGATCGCCTGCTGGTTCAGAAAAGCCCTTCTGGAGTCAGACCTCATGTAAACCTGCTTGTCATTAGTTGTACAATCCTGGACAGGTCCCTTCACTTTCCTCATCTGTAAAATAGGCCGCTATTATCTCAAGAAGTTGTAGCCTTGTTTGTAAAGTACTTAACACAATACTTGGCCCATTTAAAAAAGCACTTAAATGGCATCTTTTTACTGTCTGGCTTGCTTGTTTTCTAGAAAACTAAGTTTTAAACACAATTAAATAATCATAGGTAGTACCTAAACTAATATGCAGACAGATGCACGTCCCTGGATAGTGTTCCCTTAAAAGCAAAGCGCTGCACCTGGCCACCCCGCCCCGTCGCCCTCCACTTTCATCCCTGGCCCAGCCTCGCGCCTTCCACCGCAGTTCAGCCAACTTCCCTCCCCGCACCCCAAGCACTACAGCTCCTCTTCCCCGATTCCGCGTCCACCTGCGGAGTTTTCTTTCCTCTCCCCTCACCGCTCCCCGCCTGCCTCTCGGCCCACTAGCTCCCTCCCAGCCTCGAGGGGTTCTTCGCGGGGTTCTTCGCGGAGCCCCCGCCGGCGTCCGGGAGGGCGTGTGCGCGTGCGTGCGTGTGGTCTCGATCGCGAGCGAGGAAAGAGTCTCGCCAGCTTTATTTTCAACCCCCCTAGCCGACTCGGGAGAGAGTGGCATTTCCCTCAGGACGCCAGGAGGGCGAAGCTCAGACTCACCGGTCGCCGCCGCAGCTCCCGCCGCGTCTCGCCACCGCACGGAACTCCGCGCTAGCGGAACCCGGCACTGGCGGAATCCGGTACTCGTGGGTACTTGCTAGCGACAGGAACCGCGAGGGAGAGGGGCGAGGCCGAGCTCTTCCTGAGACGCCTGCGCAGTAGCGGGCGTCCGCACCGCAGTTGACAGCCCGGACTGCCACAGATCCGCGCTGCTGCCGGCGCAAGAGTGCGCAGCTGTCCAGCGAGCGATGGCGAACAAGCTCAGCGCTAGCCGGCCCCGCGGCGGAGTCCGAGACATTGTCTTGGATTGGATGCCGGAGCTCGTGTTCATTGTAACTCCCTTTCTGATTGGTTAGATTCACGTAGCACCTGGAGACAGGTGTTTTGATGGGGTTGAACCCGACCTAGGAGAACAGGTTTGTTCCTCTCTCCCACTTCGTGCTTTCCTTATCATTCTAACGAGTGCCTGAAAGTCCTTTGGCAGTTGCCAAATCCACCGCTTACCATTCCCAGTTTCCCCTAGTTACTCTGATCTGACTCTTTAAGGTGGCCACAGGGAATATGGCTTTGGCTGTTCCACACAGATCTGCACAAGTATAGAGAAACTTTAGCCAGTTCCAAGGTTAATAGCTAAATTCCCAAACTGAACAGTTTTAAAAGAAAAGTCCCTCAGCTTCCAGCTTTACAAAGTAAAGTATCTTCGAAATAATCCCCCTTTGTTCTGTTTCTGCTTTCCTGCGCCCTTTTCTTTGAAACCACTCTGCAGCTCAGCTTATCCACACATTCATTCTGCTGAGAATAAGGTGTTGCCAGATTCAAGAAGTTCAAATAAAAGCCAATCAAAATCTCCACGTTAAATTTGTTATGGTTTGTCTTTTCACACAATTGGGAAATGAGCATTTTTTGTTAGATGTGGGGGGGGGCCTCCTGCCTTTAATAAGAAAGTAAGTCAAACAGTTAAATAATGTAATTTACAAGCAAAAAAAGAAATTACAGATGTAAACTTATTTGGGTTGCCTAGGCACAAAGAGAGAATAGTCTCTTTTTTTCTCTTATCTGCAGTGCCAAACACAGAACCTGGCATAGAAGTACTCACTAAATCATTGTTGGATCTAGTGGGATATTTTAATGTGCTCTAGGTTTATTGCTCACACTCATTAAAATGCAAGTTCTAGGATAAATATTTTTATTCTGGTTCACAATTCTATCTCCACCAGATGCCCCCAGCCAGAAGTATAATTCAATGAATTAAGAATATTAATCACAAGCAATAGCCTCAGGTGTTAAGGACTTAATAGTTATAAACCCAGTACCTGGATCAGTTCTTTGCAATAGTAACCTTAGATATCAAAGTCTGAGCTTGGCCCATTGGTCTGAGCTTGAAAGTAAGGTCATTACCAAGAATCTGGAAGCAAATGGGGATACAATTGGGGCTAGATGTATTCTGTTGATTGTTAGTTTGTACCTTGATAAGTTATTTCCAGTTTCAAGCCTCAAGGCTAGCCGGTGCATTGGGGAATTGGGGTACCATACATAGGTCCATGGGCTGTCAGATCAAGCTAAATTCTTGCATCTGTTAGGCCTGAATTTGAATACTTACTCTGCCACTCAGTTACGGAAAACTCTTGGGAAATTATCTCAACCTGTTTGAGCATTTATGTCCTCATCTGCACAATAAAGTGTTACAGTACCAACCTCTTAGATAAATGAGGTAAAGCAAGTAAGGTACTCAGCACAGTATTTGAACATTTTAAGTTTTAGAAATGATCATTATGACCTGAAAATAAGTATTGCCCAATTTGAACAGTAGGGTAAGCCTGAGTTCTAGGAGAATTTGTATCATATCCAATTCAGTAGAACTTATATTTTCTGGGCATTTGGGGATATGATTATGCACATCATGATTTTTCACTCACTAGGGGCATAATTATTTAAATAGTAGACAAAATTGACTGCCATATAGATGACGTGTAGTCCATACCTTAAGCACAGCAGTACAGAGGAACTTTGCAAATTGTACGTTTGTTTGTTTCTGTTTCTTTGTTTTTTTGTTTGTTTGTTTGGGTCAATGATAGATAATAACTGGCCAGTCATCAAAGAAAAGGGCTACCTTCAACCACTGGTACTGCCTGTGTGGCTGGATCAGATCCGAAAGTCCCATGTAGTCTGGTCACTTCCTTTGTAAGAATCAGTGGTCAAGAACAGAGGGACAAAATGACACATAAGGACCTTCTGGCACCAGGCTTCTGTTATTCCCCCATATATTACTATTCAACCAAAAGTGAAATATGGTTTCAAATGGGATTAAATAATAAATACTTACCATGTTGTGGAACAAGGAATCCAGAGGAAGGGGAGACTTCAGAGCTGGTTGAATTAACAACCAGACAATGTTAATCATGTCTTGGATTCTTATACAGTGACTTCTGGCTCCTGTACTGGTTTTAAGATAACTACCAGTACCAACAGGAGCCAGATGATTCATTTTCACCTCTACTGGGTGACAGAAGTGGCTTCTGGGATTTTTTTATCTCAAAAACCTCTGGCACCATCTCCTTCAATCAGTTTGACTAGAATAGTGCCACATGCTCAAATCTAAGCATGCAGAGAATATGCAGTTACCAGTAATTAGGTCCACACCTTGAGCACATCGATGGACAGGATTTCCCAAACTCTACTTTTTCCCTCAGTGGTAGGGAGATGGAAAGGATGTTTAGAAGTCCACTATAAAGTTTACTATAAATTCATTGTAGGAATTTAATGATAAAATGTAGCAGCAATACAATTCATTTCTAATGTGGGTTTTAGACATAGATAATGAATTTAAGAATATTCACTTGTCTTCTTTAGCTCAGCTTTTGAAAAGGAATTTTACACATAAAGCCTTTGCACCCATTTTGTGTTATAGACTGAAATGAGTTAAAGACAATAGTCTGAATTCATTATTTACAAATGAATGTTGCATTCCCAGAGAGCACTGACTTGGCTAAATTCACACAAATTAACCCAACTAGAGTCTTTGTCTCCATTTGTAATGTCAGATTTGGAAGTAGTCAGAGTTAGTTTCTTTTTTAATCATGAACTAGACTCAAGATTTAGTGTTTATTAACACAAAATATGTTTTAAATCCAATCCTTTTCAAAGTTAAAGATAAAGCTCTTTATGCAATTATTTCTCCTTTAAATTCCTAATTGTGACGTATAACTCATAGTTGGCAGGAATTAGGTCAGATGTTAGAAGTTACAGGAAAAAGGTTTCAGAGCAAAAGCCACACCCTGCCCAAGAAAAACAACTTCTGTCCACTGCTTAGCTCTAATTAAATAACCACAAAAATGAAACTAAAGAATCAAAGTTCAATCACTAGGAGTATATTTTAAGGTTCATTTTTTAATAGATATTACTAAAAAGAAAACAAAATGCAGGTTTTTATCTTAATATAAGAGAAGAAAGAACCTTAGGAAATCATCGCACATTAGTGACTCTGAAAGTTCATTTAAGTAAAACTCTTCACTTATCCTATTTTTAGCAATATTATATTTAAATAATCTCAGTTAAGATTGATACTACACTATGTTTTAAAAAATTTTTTCTGTGTAACCTTCATTAAACTATATTTTTCTGATATTTAATAAAGTTGTGAAAAAAGCAGCAGAAATTCTTTTGAGGGTTTTCTATGCGGAAAGCATGGTGCTCAATTTTTCAAAGGATACAAAAATATTCTGTTCTCAAGGGGCATCTCATCTAGAAAGGCAAATGGAGAGGACATTGCTGTGCTGCTCTTGCCTGTCCAGCATTTATTCCTCCATCTTCTGGTGGGTCCTCTGGGAAACCACTACCTTCATGCCAGTCTATGGGAATCAAACTGGGCTGGCCTTAACTCCCCACATCTCCAAGCTGGACTAGGAAGGAGCCAACTGTCCTGGTTTACCCAGACCTGAGGACTTTCCTGGGGCCTGAGACTTTTAATATAAAACCAGAAAAGTAACAAGCAAATTGGAATGAGCTGGTTACCTAATTCTGACCAAAGTCTGGCTTATTAGAGCCCATTCTACTCTATAGACCATAGGAATTGATTCAGTGCTGGGGACCTGCTGCAGACCAGTCCAAAAGACTCAATCCTAAAACTTTTTTTAAACAAATGAGAAAAATTATTTCAGCGTAATAGTTAAATATAAGCCTGGAGGTGCTGGTGATCTCTGATGTCACTGTAAAGGGAAAGTCTACTGGGTAATGAAGCCAATGAAGAAGAAAGCAGAACCAAAAGATGGAACCCAATATCTGACAACATTAAGCACTTGGATCCAAGTTTCCCTTAAGCTCCATCCCTGAACTTTTCAATTTACATAATGATAAATTCTCCTTTTGCTTAAATGAGGTTTAGTTGAGTTTCTATCACTTATATCTGAAAAGAGAATAAGAAAAGTAGTTCTGTGCCTATGTCATCAAGTAAGGTACATGCAAAAAGACAGGTCCAAAAGAGGAAGAGAATGCAGGAGTGAGGAAACTAATCTAGGATAAGCTAGTATTTAATTTTCCATTTAATTTTCCTCCATTTCAGATGGTGCAGTCATTTCCTATGATTGCTGTAAAAAAAAATACCACATACTTATCAGCTGAAACAACAGAATTTCTTACTTTCAGTTCTAGGAGTTAGAAGTCTAGAAGAATTCAGTAGGGCTGTGTTTCTCTGGAAAACTTGGGAGAAATCTATTTCCTTGCCTTTGCCAGCTTCTAGAGTCCACCCATACTCCTTGGCTCATGGCTTCATCTTCAAAGCCAGAAGTGAAGTATCTTCTATTCATTCTCATTCATTCATTCATTCATTCATTCATTCTTTTCCCCCTCCCTCCCTCATCCCCCGCCCAACACCTTCATGCCTCCCTCAACACATTCTGGGCAGAAGAATGTAGATCTCTTTGAGTAATCATTAATATCTGCCTGAGGGAAGAGCATCAACAAAGACATCAAGATTTTAAAAAGTGTGTTAATCTTTGAAAATAATTCCATTTGCTTGCAAAATAATTGTATGTAGGGAGTCCTTGGGATTGAGGCTGAAAATTGAGGATTGAGGTTGATTAAAACCGTATCAGAGGGCTGAGCTTGTGGCTGAGAGGTAGAGCACTCACCTGGCATGCGTACGGCACTGTGTTTGATCCTCAGCACTACATAAAAATATTGATTTTTTAGTTGTAGGTCCACCTACAACTAAAAAATCAATATTTAAAAAAAATATCAGTTTGGCTGGATGCAGTGGTACACACCTGTAATCCTAGTGGCTCAGGATGCTTTATTTTATTTCAGGATTTTATTATTTTATTTCTAATCATTTATTATTCCTATAGCTTTCACCAAAGATACTCATATCTCTTTTAAACTATAGAACTACCAAAAAAGTGTATGTGGACTGTATTTAATAAGCATTCTTCCTAACAGTATGATTAAAGGAATTCTCTCTCTTTTTTTGGGGGGGGGAGATTGAACTCAGGGACACTCGACCACTGAGCCACATCCCCAGCCCTTTTTTGTATTTTTATTAGAGACAGGGTCTCACTGAGTTGCTTATGGCCTTGCTTTTTGCTGAAGCTGGCTTTGAACTCATGATCCTCCCACCTCAGCCTCCTGAGCCTCTGGGATTACAGGCTTGCAGCACATTGTCCAGCAGGAATTCTCTTTTTCCGTAAATCCCCTCTAGGGTCCTACCTGAAATCTCTAGAATTAAAATATCCCTTTACTATATTTAAAGAGCTGTACATTTTAATTGGGTTGAGTTCAGATCGAGTAATATGTTACTTAACTAACATATTTGCATTCTTTAGTTTTCTGTTCCCCAAATTTGCTAAGCCACAAAGTCATCCACGGCTTCTATTAAAAAGTGTCCTGGTTCTCTTCCCTGAAGATTTACATCCAGGAAATCTTGTGTGGTATCAGAAAACTTCTATTTTTTACTGGAAATCTCATGATCAGGCACATTCAGCAGATACAAGCCTCAGTTTGGCTAGGGACTTGCTTAAATTAGGGAGGGAAGTCAAGGGTAGTGCTAAGAGCCACAGCCAAGTAATATGATGCATGGAATTTTTGGTTGAAAGGTGATGCCAGCTAGCCATAGAGATGATATGATTATGTTAAGATTTGCATTCATATGGATATTGGACTCCTGCTGTTCACCTGGGCCTGCTAGGGACTTCCAGAGAGTTCCCATTGGTTGGGGAAGTGCAGTAGGAGGGAATTCCGGGGGAGAAACTTCCTCTGGGGTTCCGGGAGAACTCGGAGTGTGTGGATTGGCAATCTTCCCGGACGCGTAGGGGGCATTGGCGGCAGTTTCAAAAATAAAGTTTGTTCCTGCATGAATGGCTTGTGATTTTGTGCGCAGCCAGACTGCAGCAGGGTAGTAACTGGACTTTGAATTTGTTTAGTACCTTACAGTCCACATAGTGCTTTTACATAAGGGTCTTATGTGGTTTTCGTAACCTCTGAAGTTCTGTGGTAATTTCAGAACTGAGACCTACAGTGCATGTGGTAGCAGTGGATGAAGGGAGCCCTTTCCCATGACCTGTCAGCTGCTCTCTTCACCACACATGCCAGCTGTATGGATGTCAATTTTATCTACTCTTTATAATCATGCACCTAGTAAATGAACAAACAGGATATGCATAATCATATCCTCCAAATGATAGAAAATGTAAGTTCTGCTGAATTGGATATGACATAAATTCTCCTGGGACTCCAGCTCACCCTGACTATTGTTCAAATTCAGCAAGATTTTTCAGGATGTAATGTCTGTAATCTCTAACATCTATCATGGTCAAATACTGCACAGAGTACCTTACTTTCTTTACCTCACTTATCTGACAATAATCCTAAGAGGTTGATACTATAACAGGCCCCGCTGTGCAGATGAGGAAATGAATGCTCAAAAAGGTTGAGACAATTGCCCAAGATTGCTCAATAACTGAGTGGCAGCTTAAGTAGTCAAATTCAGGCCTGGCAGATTCTAAGATTGAACTTGATGGCCTCTACCATCCCTTCAATTCTTAATAGCCCATGGATCTAAGAAGCCTGTTTTGGTTTGCATATGAGGTGTCTCCCAAAACTCCTGTGTTAATGCAGGAGGTAAATGATTGGATCGGGAGAGCTGTCAATCATTCCATCCTAGTTTGAATGGACTTGCTGGGTGGATAACTGCAGACAGGTGTGTGTGGCTAGAGGAGGAGCGCATGCCCTGGAAGAGAGCATCTTCCCCATGCCCCTTTCACCCTCCCTCTCTCTGCTTCCTTGCTGCTATGAGGAAATCTATTTTCTTTGTCCTTATCTTCAGTCATGATGTCCTACATCACCTTGGGACCAGAGTAATAGAGTCAGCTGACTACCTATGAACTGAGACCTCTAAAACCAGGAACTGCAGATAAACCTTCCCTCCTCTAAGTCCTTGTCAGGTATTTTGGTCATAGCAATGCAAATCTGACTTGAAAAATGCTCCAATTCCCCAATGCACCTGCTGGCCTTGAAGCTTGACACTGAAATTAAATTATCAAGGCACAAACATCATCAGCATCAACAGAATACATCCAGTCCCAATTGTCTTCCCCACTGTTTTCAGATCTGAGATCTTGGTGCTCCTTATGCACTAATGTTTTGGTAATGATTGTGCATCCCTAGGAATGGTTCTACCAATGGGGTCATGGCCCAGCTCTCTTAGATGTTGAGGCCCACAATCCAACCATATAGTTATATTATGGAGGAAGATAAAAAACAGCATAATTTAAAAATTATGCCCAAGATTTCCAGGTAATTTCACATTGGCTGACTGTCTTAAACTGTTTTAGCCAAACTTTCATCATTAAATACCTGTCCCTTCTTTACCATGATCAAAACTGATGGATCCTGCCCTATTTTTCAACTGTCACAAATACGATGTGCATTTTTTATTTAATATAAGTTCCTAAGTCAATTATATAACTGGTTTTGTTAGACATATGTAAATATCTTTGCTCCAGATATAGCAGCCTTGGGTATTGCAATTCCTTCTTCCATCCAATAAAGTAAAAGATACTTGCCCTGTTGGCATCATTTTTCAGAGATAAGGAGAAGGCTGCTTCCATTGACATCATTTTCCTAGTACAGAATTGGTTAGCAGTAATTTGATGGTGTCAATGTTTCCTGAAGATAAAAACATGCAAACAAAATAAAATGTTTTAATAACTGTAACTCCTTATAGTAAAATCCCAAAGTTAAAAGCAATTATTGTTATAAAATGATTGGGCTAGAAAGGAGCATAGGATTGGAAGCAACTCATCCATCCATCTGTACTAGGCCTAAGCCACTTTCTAACAGATTCTGCAGACCCACAAAAAATTTGATAGAGCAAAGTATTTGTTAATCAGAATCTATACTCAGCCCCAAAGTACATCCTCGGAGAAAAGGAGGTGGAGTCACCTGGTCCCTTTCTTCAGGAGCCAATCAAGTTCTGACTTTTCACAAGTTCTGCCTTTTTACAACTGCTACTTTGATAATAGTGGAATCATTATTAACCCCCAGACCCAACTCTCCAAATTACGCCAGCATCATGGTTGCCAACCACCTTCCTATGCTTTCTTAGGGGGAGGGGTACTGGAGACTGAACTCAGGGACATGCGACCCTATTTTATATTTTATTTAGAGACAGGGTCTCACTGAGTTGCTTAGCACCTCGCTTTTGCTAAGGTTGGCTTTGAACTCATGATTCTCCTGTCTCAGCCTCCCTAGTTGCTGAGATTACAGGCATACACCACTGTACCCAGCCTTTTAGCCACAGGTTCAGATGTTCTTTAGAGTCACTTGCTACAGCTCCATGCTCCTACTGCCTGGTCTCCAGCAGCCAGACAGAACTTTTCCAATAGAAAATCACTTCTTGTAGCTAAGCTGCTCAGCCCCATCCCCACACCCCCTACCCCTGGCAATTGATCACTCCTCATCTTCAGGATTACTCTAGACTCCCTATTTTTGATGCCTATATCATCTAACCCCTGAGTATTCCTCAGACCTCAGTTTCCAACTCACTTCCTCACACACATTGTGCTGGACAAACTGTTCTCCTCCTTATTTTTTATTTCTCAAAATTTGAAGTTCTTTCCTGCTTCAAAACCTTCGCCCTAAGCCCACTGCTGAATCACCTTCTTCACAAACTTTTACATGTCTCATTCCCTATATTCCTTAAATCTCTGCTTAAATGGAATTTGTCTTGGTAAATGAGCCCTACAAGCTCTTTTGTTAACCTTTTCTTTTCAATCTATACTTTGAAGATGGCCAGAAACAATTTGCAAATGAAGAAGCAGAAAACATAAATAAAAAATAACTCAGGAGGGGCTGGGAATGTGGCTCAGGCGGTAGCGTGCTCGTCTGGCATGCGTGCAGCCCGGGTTCGATCCTCAGCACCACATACCAACAAAAAATGTTGTGTCCGCCGAGAACTAAGAAATAAATAT